AATATGCTTCAAGTTACTGTTGTAGTAACTAAATTCTGTTGCTGGGTGGTTTTAATCTGTAAAGCTCGCTCGTTGTGCAACTAGGTGACGTTCTTCTTTCATAAATATCATAGTCTTCATCGATTTATAGTTTTTGCAAGTTCCAAGCGTATGCGGTGCTCACGCAGTTAAACATAATGTTGGAACTGTTAACAAAAAAGATATCTCGTAATCCCAGAATTGTTTTCTGTTCGTGCACTATATCATGTGGCTCTCATCCGAATCAGATGTATGTAATTTACCTGTTTCATCTGAGCAGGTGAGCTCCCGTTCGAAAATTTTAAGCACATCTACGTTCTTCGTTTCGAGCTTTTGCCACAGCAAAAGCCATTCTTATTAAGCACATTTCGAATGGTTCTCGCCGAAACCGTTTTATTTCTCGGTCGTGTATTAGCTGTGCATTGGCTAATATCTTAGCAATTTTTGGGGCACTTAACATAGGATTATTCAGAAGTTTTTGTACACTTAACTTTTCGTTTTCTTTAGTCAATATACGGGGCCGACCGCTTCTTAGCTGATTCCTTAATGTATGGGTTACTTTGAATCGCTGAACTATGAATCGTACACTCGAAAATGATACTTCGCGCATCGACCTATTTTCATCATGTAGTAGCACGACCAACTTCCTAAGGGCCCGACCAGTTTCACTGCTCTTTCGACTCATATCTTCGCTAATAAATGCGTTTTTTAGAAAAAACGCGCGCACAAAGCGAACGCTAACTAGCGTTTTCTCAAGCGGCAGCAACTCCTAATGTACGATTCCTTGTTAATTCTGCTAAACACATAGCGTCAGCTGATTTTGCGTCAGTCCGTACTTTGTCACAGGATGTCGAACTTTTCCCCACTTTGGCGACCTTTTCCCCACATTATTGTCGTATGCGATCCACTTCTTATCGCCTGGGATCAATTGCTTTAGATATAGTTCGATTTTTGTCCGTTTCTGTAGAGTTTTGCAGATTCCTTTGCGTCAGTTCATGTGGCACCCAAACACCAAGCTTTTTTTTGTAGCCAGCTTTTTTCAAATGATTTAAAACTGTTTGGTGGTGGATGTTTAGTTCCTTGGCAATGTCATGACTACTCACGTGTCGATCTTGCTTGACTTTTGCAATAATTTTATCAGCTTTTTTCGTACTTGGCCGACCACTACGAGGAGCATCTTTTACATCAAAATTTCCAGAACGAAAGCGACGGAACCACCTTCGGGCTGTTTCCTTCGATAACGCATCTTGACCATAGACAGCACAAATTTGTTTATGGGCCTGCGCAGCGTTTGTGCCTTTATCATAATAAAATTGTAGAGCATAACGGATTTTGGCTGAAATTTCACTCATTTTTAACGTGTGGGTAAAGTCGACATTGATTTGTCAGCCAGGAGCTAAAAAAACGATGTCGTCGGAGTTTGTTATTTCCTTTCCAATGAATCGCTCTGATCACCTTCAAAATCATTGCACTCTGAAATTATCGGCAATTACTTCGTTATAAAAATGCGCATTGTCTTTTTTATTACTTCACATTTCCTCTGAGTTCGTATCATTTTAGTCAATAATACACGGTAAGCGAATACCTTTTACGTCGCCTTATATCAACTATAGATGATTGGAATATACCTAGTTGTTGCTAAAGCAGTCCAATGGAAAAGGAGTGTGAGAGGCTAGTTTTAAAGGTACCAATCTGTCCCTGCCACAAAAATCCAAGCTATCTTTATGCTTATACTAAATAGTACAAAAACGTATACACTAGTACAACCACCTTTATCTTTAATAATATTAACTAAGTGGGTTAAACTAGAAAATAGACTTGCACAGTAATTTGAACTAGCTCAGCTGACTGCAACGACTTTCCCTTCGTCTGCTTCCCTCACCCAGTGTTTTCGCTTTTTTTTTAAAGCCACTTTTGGTGCAAATAATTAATGCACATCTCGCATAATCCAGCCAAATAGTGTGGGACTTACTTCTAGTCACACGAAGTCATGTCTTGCTAAATTGCGTGATTTTTTTTTTCGTTCCGCTTAATTAGCTTAACATTCAAAAGCTGCACCCACCGCTTCGGGAGTAGAAATAAAGAAACCCGCGAACGGAAAGCCACCGCGGGTTGAGCATTAGCCTAATTGAAAGAAACGAACGAAACAAAGAAAGAGAATCGAAGAGGGACGAGAAATTTACCCCTCTATTTTCTCAGATACCGCAATTTTTTTTTTGTCAAGAGCCCTCGAGTTTCGGGTTTAACGTCCGACATTCCATCATACGGCTGGCTCTCAAAACGCATACGTGTGTATGCTGGAGTTCAAGCCTATACCACAACGTATCTTTAAGGTTAACAGGTGTAACTCACTAAGCTACCGCTGGGACTTTTCAATATCCCTATCAACGAATTTATACATCATTTACTATTTCTCTCGAGATTTAGTATTATTTATCCATGTCGGGGAAGTTTCCAATACCCTCCCCCCTCTCCTTCGAAAGTCCCTCATTATCAAAAGGCGTGCTTCATCGTGTCTACAATCTTCGAATCACAAAAACTACAATCATACTATATCACTCACAGACTTAGTCCATTCGGAGCTGATAATTAGCAAAGAATCCGAGAAGCCGATACTATACAGAGAGGTAAGCGCCAACCATGACATCACGCCATACATTCGGAAACACGCGGTGGTTTAGGTGCCAAGCCCCCCGCCCTCCTTTTGACGTTTATCTCAGTAGAGTTTGCGTGAATACATTTATAAAAATCTAAACTAGAAGAAAAGACGATATTAGTAGAAAAACTGCGCCAGGCGATCTTTTATTATGTCTTTCGGTGCTGTCAAAAATGTGTATAATAAAAAAAGAAAAATGCCCGTTTCTTATTTTGTAAGAATGTTTTAGGAACATTGTACTCTCAAGCTTGGCGACACTGGATTGCAAGTAAGATAAGCACTCTTTGCTTATTTCTGCTTCATTTATCAAGTATTTGTCAACGCAGATGCCTACGAGTTTGAGCGCTTCCTGGAAGACAAAACGGAGTTTAGAACTTCTGTGAAACCTTTTGAAATAATTAATTACGCACCATAGCTAGAGCGCTATTATTTTGATCTAGAGCACAAGTTTGAATAAAGCCGAGCTTTACTTTATCTTTTGTAAAAGGTATTAGATCTGCCTTTAGATATAAACTCTACCCAACAGGTTACCAATGAATAGCCTGCGGTATTTTTTGACGATACAGAAAGTGGTAAATCGTCAGTATTGTGCTTTTATTACTGCAAGATCAATCGTTATCTGCATGTGTTTTTACATTTGGAAACTGATAACCTACCCACACTAGCATTTCAACCATAAGCTTACTTTTTACAAAGAAGTAACGCTTCTGTGACAGCCAGCATAACGAAGCAAGGATACATGGCAAGATACATCATAAGAGCCGGAACTAGAACAGTTCCAGTGGAAAGGAAAGCGATGGGTCAGTCATTCAATTAAAAGCTTTAAACTAGTAAATGAGAATTATTATTAATTGGTTCCAAAGTAGCACGGGACATACTTATATAGAGATATTATGAATGAAAGTCATGCGTTGACGCTCCGTGAAAGATAATATATTCTACAAGAACGGCTAATTAAGAGTAAGTTACATATAGTTGTACCAACAACGTAGCCAAACAATAAATATTTGCATGTTTTGAACCTAAGGACTAGCTGCCTTAATCAGCATACAACTAATATTTTATGTTCCATAGAATCAGCTCTGAAGTAAGCGCTCTAATACATTTGAGTTTTTCTTTTTGATTCAATTTTTCGGTTCTACTTTTTTCGGCGGACTCATATGTAGTCATCAAACTTCGTATAGTTTAGTATATTGCATCTGCATAAAAAATATGTTGAACGTTTTGAAACATATATTGTAGCCTTGTGTAGACTTACAGCTGAACCTACATCCTACAGAGCTAGTTTTTTCTTCTGTGTCGTCATGAAACTGTACATCCTTCTAGGTAAATGTGACAGGTTGCGACAGTGTAGTAGAAACGATACACTCGTTTTGTCGTACATGTCGTAAAAAATATACAGGCCGTTTTTAGAAAATAACCAATGTTTGGCCGTTATGTTTTGCAATGTTCTACTGGATATTTGCTGTTTTACGAAAAAGATTTCTAAAAATCTTCCTGACGACGTGCTGTTCTCATGTGTATTCGTTAACTGACGTGGGACTTTTCAACTTGCTAGTATTGCAGCTGATCATTAAGGTTTGTCGGTTACCTGAAAGTTTTTGATATATGTACTTGCACTCACAAGCTTGTTTTACAATTGACTGGTGATTTTACTAACACCCATTACCGCAAAAGCCAAAGACCCATCGATTTTATCTTATACACATTTCATTGCCGCCATAGAGAAGCAGACACTGAAAGGAAGCTACCAAATTGAAATTGAAGTCAAAATGCAGACCTATGCTATCGGTCCCAGAGAGTAGTCTCTAGCGTTTAAGCAAAAATAGCCTTTTCTACACATCAGACCCTATGTAACAATTATTTCTCATGGTTAGGATATTCATTTTCGCTGCACACTTGTTAAAATCATCAAGGTCGTGACAACTTCGCGTAGTACTAACGCTATGCCTCGCAAATGAGCTATTCAGACATAATCTATATTAAATCTATCTAAAACCTGATTCATTGAGATAGGCAGAGGTGCGTCTGACTATTCGAATAAGCAACACAGATCAATCCGCCTGAATACAATTCCAAGCATATACCGTCTTGCAAAGAGGGACTATACTAGAGAGCCTTCAGGCGAGTAGGATATCTAGAGCTACATGTAAACCAGTTAGGTATTTGCTAAATAAACCGATTCACACATTGAGATCATGCTCAGCCGCGTATAGCATAGCTAAGACGCCATCCAACTGTACCAAGTTTCATATTGTAATGAGCAAACTATAATTAAATATCTTTTAACTAATCACCTGTAAACGAAATACAAATTTAATTTAAGAAAGCAATAAACATTTATTCGTTTAATAAACTTCATGCATTCTAATAACTATGTACACATCTCTGTGTAAACCTATATAGGTGCTCAATTAAAATATAGTTACAATATCAACGCTAAGTTACACATTCCTGCTACTTTTCCTGTATTTTCGTTAAGTTAAAGCTGCCGTGGCGGCCGATTCCCGACACAAAACGTTTGGCACCTAGAAATATGCAGAACAGCAGCTGCTTTAGCACCTTGCTCTCAGAACGATGAAACACATTCATAACTTCTGATTGAAAGAGAGCTTTGAGAGAAAAATAATTATTATTTTATTTATAACACAAATTCTATATGACTTTTCAGTAGGCGATTATGGTGCTTCCATTGACAACTACTACACTGAGATGTTCTCCTATAGGATTTCTTTTATCGACAATATTAATTAACAAAATGGCTACAAAGGTTGCGATACACTTACTATTTTTTTATAACATGGTCGTTTATTAGCTTATTTCAAGTATTTAACTTTCTGGGTATGGTCAACTTGCATTCAATTATCAAAAATTAGTGAGAAATGAATTTTGGGCCCCTTTTTATGCATCAAGTAAAACATACCCTCAACACCTTCCTGGGATATAATATCAACAGCATTAGCCCGCTCATATTCCATCGCTTCGAGCTGGCTGGCAGCTTCGAACGTAGCATAATAAGCACTGCGCCGATCAGTCCTTAGACATTCTTGCGGGAACTTTTTAATTTGGGTTGCCAGTTGTAAAGCCTGACCGACCCCCGTACCGCATCCAACCAAGCGATTGGCCAAACCAATCTGATAGGCTTCTTTTCCGTCCACGGCTCGTCCTGAAAACCAATGAAAGCTTGTATAAAGTATTAATAAAGGTTAAGTTAAACATGTCAGTGGTTAAAATTAACTCAATTGATTCACAGAAATTTTAACAGGGCACAATAGTAATCGCGCTTGAAAGAAATATTTACAGAATGGTGGGTTAAATGGGGTCAAGCAAAACATAGAGGCTATTATAGATAAATCGCTCTGTATAAATAGAACTATTAGGGATCAAAATATATCCGTTTGCTAGATCTTGATATTCCATCAAATCTGTTACTGCACAGACTTTTTATAAGTCGTTTTACATTAGGTTAATTAAATAAACGCTTGCGCTTTAATAAATAAAGCGCTTCTTACCGTTAGATAATAGCTTACGAATATCCCTAATAAACCATAGTTCGTTTAGTCACCGAGCAGGATACGGTATTTCCCGTATGTTTTTTATACGCTTTATGGGTGACCTTTATCGTGATGATGAATCTTACGAGAACGCGGTGGCGCTTGCTAATGGTGATATATATAATGGAGTAAGATGGTTAAATGTGGCAACGGTCATACCTGTTAGGATTAGATCCATAGTCCTAGAAAGCCCGATTAGCTGCGGCAGACGAACAGTACCACCGTTGAGAAGCGGCATACCAAATCTACCTCAATGACGGCAAACAGAGTAATGAATGTATGTTAAGTAAAATTATACTTTTCTTCTTTTAAATATTACAGCATAAACGGGAGCTCTGGGGGCATATGCGGGGATTTGTTCCTCTAAAATACTACCTCGTGGGGAACAAATAGAACTAAGAGAAAAGAGAGACCGCCAAATCTGCCAAATTTTATACAGGCCTGCGAAACTGCGATAAGTATTGTGACAATAGTTTTCAAAATTATGTGTTAATCTACCGTCTCTTCGTGAAAATATATTTCCTACCATTTTCAAAGCAAAAATGTTGTTGTATATAGAACGTGTTATACAAATGTACTGAAAAGAAGTGCCGATCTTTATCACGCTAGGAATTAGTGACAATGCCAGGCACCTTCTGCAGAATACGCCCATGACGGCTGTCTCTTCGACAACCCTTAGGTCACACCATAGAGCAAGTTCAAAACCGCCAGCCACTGCATACCCCTGTATGGCTGCCACAATTGGCTTGTTTGTCAACATTCCACACGGGCCCTAAAACATAGAAATAATTACATGACATTGGACCAAAAAGTCATTCCATAACTTTTTTAAATACACTGAAACGACTATTTAAAAAGCATTTAGTATTATTGCATTTTTAGTCAACGTATATTTGCAGCGAACGAAATCTGGTAATAGCATGTTAAAACATAACATTTCAGTCTCTGCAGGACAAAACCCCCAGATCAGTGTCGACGAGTCGTGCAATAAAAAACGATATCCTATGTATTATTTTATCTTCTTATTAGTTAAAATACTCTATATTTTAACAAATTCTGCTTCTGCATTTTGTGGGAATTAGACATCTAGCAAACTACGCTTCAAGGTTAAGATAATAAGTTGTCTTCTCTGTGTATTTATTTAAGCCTAACTTGAGATAGTTACTTTATATTTACCATAGGTGATCTACGCTTAAACCTGTCGAGAAGTGTTTTGTCTGTCCTCGATATTTCTTCAAGGTCGTATCCAGCACAAAATGTCCCACCGTTGCCGAAAAGTACAGCCACATTGACTGAAGAATCTGCGTCGAATCTTTCGAATTGACTTTAATAAATCAAAGCGTATCAATATGTATACTTGTCTACTTACTATTTATAAAGGTGGCATATTGTTATTGAGAATTTCTAACTACCACAGGTGAGATTATATATATATATATATATGATTTATCTGCAATAAAAGATTCTAAAAATATAAACCATCACCGGCAATGTGAAAAATTTATCCAAAATATCAAGAGTCAAGTAAAACCTGAAGAGCTCGTCTGCAGTGTCGGCGTTGACACTATTCTTCTTTTCGGGTCGATTAATTCCAATCATACGAATTCCCCCAACATCTTCGCACGTAACAAGGGTAGGCCTTCCTGCAACATAATTTAGCTGGGTCCGTTAAATTAATTAAATCCAAAATTTGATGGTATTTGATAAAGATTCTGTTATGAATTGCGTACATGTGTGTCTCTTCTCAGATTCTGAGAAAGTTTACCCTAAATGCAAGTGAAAAATATAAAACGTTGATAATAACCAGGAAGTTACTACATAAGAATAATACAGATGTATAATTATTATTGTTATTTACTATATTTAGCGCCCTTAGTGAAGGGCGGTAGCTCAGTCGGCCTAGGAATAGCACGCAGACGCTGAGCCATGGAAGTACTCTGAATCGAACCCGTTTTACACACCATATAAATAAAAATCAATGATTATATCATAAGGCTTAATATTGTTGAAAATACCGATGATAGTAAAAGTAAGAGGTGTATTATGCTCTAATATAATAAGAAACACTACAGAAAAAGAAAGATATAGTATACAAATTATAGGAATGAAACAAGATAACGTATCATAAACCAGATGATAGAATTTTACAGCACTAGGTTGTATCTATTATTCCGAATGTCATCGGCATTTATTATTATTATTATTAGATTATTATTTATTATATATTTATAAATTATTTAGATTGTAGGTCCACGAATATTCGGTAGTTCATCTGCGACAAAGATGTTCTTCACTTATATTTACAATATTACAAATCGGTCTAGTAATGTTTTTTGGACAAAAATCGCCTAATGTAGATTTCAAGTACACATTGGTACACAAGTCCACACTTGAAGCCTTTCAACCAAAAGTGAATTTTCGCTTCGTGTCTTATAAATCCGGTCGTGTCACTTGATTGAGCACATAATACATAACTACACTATTGGATAATCTATAAATTTTGACGCAGCTTTTGCTATGGATGTATCCACCTAGCAACAGCACAATATTGAAGCGAGTATGAATAGAGAAAGCTCTAGTTCATTATTGAACGATTTAATAGCTCGTGTGTTTCATTACCGCCGAATTCATTACGATAGTGGTAAATATTTTCAACACTTTCTATACAATCACTTTATTCTATCACAGTTCTCTTTCTGGTAAACAAGTTAAGATTGAACAGCTGGAAATAGCTGATTGAATTTTATGTTACGGCCGATTTCCTAAATTGCCTTTACAAGCAGCTCAACCATATATCAGCATCGCACCATAGGAAGTAAATAAGATAACTTTTTTAAGAGGTTGTTTATCGGCCCTCCTTGATAAACAACAAAAAAAAAACTCAATAAACCAACTAATGTTACATCACAATAATTACGGGGTGTACGCAAAGTTATGCAACTGTAAGGGAGAGCAGCCAAATCTTACGGTTTGGGCAATAATATATATAAAAGTCCGACAGGATATTAATAGAAGAATTGATTTGTATGTGCCCTCCTAGATTGGAACCCAAACAAAATAAATAATAAAAGATACTTGTTCTACTTTTTTACACAGGTGTTAAGACAAATAAGGCTAATAATAAGTTCTAATCGTAGTATAATCCATAATGCATTTTTAGTATTATCACAATACCAGTCTCGAGGAATGTCACTGCAGCTATTGTTAGTTGGTCTGAAATCTACAAACTTGTGCTTGTCGTAAAGTTTCGTTGAAATGCCAAAGTTAAACATTTTTGGAATGACATCACGAATTTGATCCCACTTGTTTTTTGATCCAGTTCTTTACCACTGCGCCATCAGAACGATCTGAGCGCGAACGGTTAGATGTTTACCAATGAGCGTGAGGTAGGTGTTTACCAACAGCTGGCAGATGAAATTAGTCTTTTGACGGGAGACGCGCACTTTTCGAGCACCATAGAGACGCAAGCATCGATGCGGCCTTCGAGACTGGACTTACTTACACATCTTATTTCGTGCTAGAAATCAGCAATATGAGACATGCTCAGGCGGGATAGCAAAGGAAAGCCTCAAAACATTTAGCTCAGGGTGGATTACAATGTTCGTTTTTGAGCCAATGGGCTAACAGGCGCCATTAATTGACTTGTACCATGTGCGAAGTTCTCAAAAGCTCTCCAATGCTTGTAATGTAAATGTATTTTAACTATTGTAGGCATCATAGAGATATATTTTTTAGATTCGTGGTGTCGCAGCATCCGAAAGCAGTCTTACACTTAGGTTGTTGAACATTTGATAGATTCTTTATACAGAACAATTTTTCGTTTGCTCAGAGACACATAACGTTTTTGTCGAACCGTCGTGCTAAGACGAGACAAAAACAACAATCTGCAACGACCAAATTTTTATGTAACGAGGTCATTTCTAAGACAACGAGAGCTACATAAAACTGACGGTACATGCTCCGAAAAGTTATTTTTGCGCAGGCCGAATATAAGGATTTTTCGATTGGTCAGTGAGGTTAAATAAGCAAAGCAATTAGTGAAATTTAACGCTGCTATTAAATACGATGATTTTGGCTGGACGCATTTATTTTCGCTTCTCAAAATCATCACAATGATTGGTTAATCTTTCTAGCTAATATCACTTTTTGGCATTTATATCCTGGCATAGTAATATCAGCAGTGTGTCCAAGGTTTTAAGAAATTCAAAAATTGTATACGCTCGTCTTTAAGATATCGGCTACATTCCCAACCGATGTCAGAAATAGAAAAAATTCTTTGAAGATACTAAATTCTTGCTCTTTCCTCTTTGATCTAAATCTTCTGCATAGTCGAATGCGAGCTTTCTCTACATTTTCCGCACGCTGGGTACCTAATAACAACTTCCTAAGTTTCCTGCTGTTTCCAAAAAAAGGCAAACGTTTGTGTTATTTATTTTACCACAAACAGGTCGAATGCTTTTAATAACACTGCAGCTCGGACGCATTTCAAACGCAAACGTCTTAGTTACTTCGATAACAATTTTTGTCAATAGAGTAAATCAACTCTTGCGTTATGTGAAAAACTAAACGGATTTTGTTATGAACTGGACTTGGATTGAAGTTGTGCTGCCTAGCACGTAAGTGACACACTTAGGTTTAAGCGGATTCACAAATTTCAAAATTAGATTTCTTTGTAATGAGCGCCTGAAAGCTTTAGATTTACTTAATACATAAAGAGGCTCGATTAAGTTGAAATGATGAAAGTTATACCTCTTCTACTGTATTCCAGTCGCAATCAACCACCATTATATAATAATAATTATAATAACAATAATAATAATTAAGGCATGAAGCTTAGTACTAACGACATTTTATTTAAAACCCAAGATTTGCTACGACAGACTCTTATAAGCTTATGCCGAGTATTTGGCATACGTTATTTCTGAAAGCACCCTTGGAAACTGTTTCCGCGCTCTAAAATTATGTTTATGAACGTTAACTCGAAAAGTTTTCCGGTCGCGGCCCAAAGTCTAGAACGAAATTTTCACTTCTATGGTTTGCATGATTTAATTAATAATGCCCTACATCGATCTAAGGCATGCCTTTAAATATATGAAGATATTTTTTCAAAGAGCTTGTAAACAACTGCCTTCAATATGCCTAATCAGACATGGCAATGCACACGGAATAATATATATATATATATATATATATATTAGACTTGGGTCGTGCAGTAGTTAGATTATTAGTTAGTTATTATAATTAGTATATTATAGAACAGCGTTTCAGTGTTCGGACGAATTGGTCTTATGTGAAGCTTCAAGTATGGCCACAGAGTTCATTAGGATAGTTATTTTATCCAAGAAGCCGGCTTAGTCTGTATTCAGATGGATCACCTCTTTCCTGAATGGTCGAACAATCCTATGTGCATTTCAATCAATCACAATATCTATGGAGTATAAACCTACTCAAGTTAGACTAAGACCTCGATAGCCAATCTGTGGGACATAATATTTATAAGTCACAATATCAACACTTATGAAGCGTGCACGGCAAAGATGAATTCTTTGAGCATGACAAGCAGGTACTGTTATATGGAATCAAATAAGGAGCAGTAAGGGGCTATCTTTGCGTGAGCGCCAGAAGTTTCCCTCGGACCGAAAAGCGCCCACCTGCATTTCTACTCAAGCTTCTATTATACGTTGGTTAAATCCTCTTCTAAAGTTGTTCCTTGTCCATGGTGGTGAAGAAAAATCTACGATAAAGCGATTGATGCTTCTTTGACTTTGTGATGAAAAATTTTAGTGAAAATGATGTCCCATTGCGAAAGGCTGCGTGTGAATACTAGTAAGCATGCCAAGAATCTTTAGAGGACTGCCAAATCTGACTGAATAGCTGCTATGTTAATTGCTGGAGAGATTCTGGTGCAGCTTCTGAAATTTACGAGAAGCTTGTCTTTTTTTTATTGCTGAAATAAACAATATCCTGCCCATCATTGCAAAGTATATTGAGCAAGCAAACAGGCTTAACGACCGTTGTTGTTCCTCATTTACTAAGAGCAGTCTGTATATATTCTCTGTTGAATGAGAATATGATTGTATTTACTGGACTTGTTCGATGCTCGATGATGATTATCCGCATTTGTTCGAAGCGATTTGAGGTTTGATGGCGGTAAAGCACATGATTTCAATTGTAAATCGAAAGTAAAGTCATCGTCTGTTTCAAAACAATCAGCAGTCTATTGTTTAAATGTATTCCCGGTAAGGTAAGATGGTAGATTGTAAATTGTTTTGAATTAACTGTACTTTGAAATACATGTCTGGCACTAAGCAGGTAAGTATTGATTTATGAGTGCTGTGACGTACCTCCCTATGATAATCAAGTAATCGTTTGCCTTCTAAAGCCTTCTGTAGTAGCAGAGTTCCTTCTGTTCATAGAACGAACTTGCACGATTAGTAAGTAGCATAACTAATGAATAAAAATTCTGGTGAAACAAAGGTTGGCTCATCGGGATCTATCGTAAACTTCTGGCAGCCGCTCGAAGACCTACTTCTGTCACAACCATCAATAGTCGCCAAAAACATTGGCGCTTTTTAGTAGACCTTCAATTCGACTTTGAAGTCAATTGTAGAACTGACTCCTACGAAAAAAGCCGATTACTCTCAACAACAATTCTCAGAGTTGATATAAAAGAAATATGTTTTATTGAGATGCGCCAACTGCAAATCGTTTAGCACGTGTTTCAAAGCGAAGCATTGTTTTTTGAACTTCATGTAATCGATTCAGACCTTTCCTTTGCACAAATACACGTACGAGTGATTCATAAACAAAAAAAAAAAACATAATAAGCCCAAATGGATTCGACAGGTCATTCAATAGCAATAAATTATACCATTATCAATATTTTTCCTGTGTAGTAGGTATATCAACGTGAGTGTCCTCTTATTATTCTAGTCACGCGAATGTTTTCTATTTCGATTATATCTCATTGACATTATTAGTTGGAAAAATAACAAATAGTAATGGCTAACTACCGATGTCTTCCGAATACGGTGAAGGGACCCGCTAAGCCCACGCAGGATCGGAATACATACATTTACACTGCAAGAAAAAACAAGCGATCAATATGTTAAGACGCAGAGTTTCAGATTGTGGTAGTCTTTTATTGTTATTTCGCTTATTAGTCAATATCTTCGCCATTCATTCGTGTTCATAGAAATAAGGGTGGATTAGCGTTTTTTAGTGGTTAATAATTAAGTCAATTAAAACTTATGATCATTTAATGGCAATATGCAGTTAAGAAATTCTAACAGAAAACAGATATATATATATATA